CGGCGTTGCTACGGCGCCGCGTGCAGCCGTGGCCGCAGCTACTGGCAGCCCTGGGCGCCCAAAGGGAGGCACGGTGCGAGGGAGGCGGCCTTCTGCCGGGAGCGACAAGATCGGGGGTGGACGGCTCTAGGCCTCCCAGATGGGGTCGGGGTAGATAGGGTCGGAGGATCGCGCCGCATCGCCGATGCATCGCCGATGCGGCTCAATGCAGAGCCCGACTTTCTCCACATCGACGTCGCCGACGCATCGCCGATATCGCCGATGCATCGGCGATGTATCGCCGATGTATCGGCGACATCGGCGCGATCCTCCGACCCCATCTACTCCGACCCCATCCAGGAGGCCTTTAACAGAACCCCCACCCTGACACGTCGATTAGTGAATTGTCCGTGTTCGGTTCTCGAGAGAGCGCCGCAACCATCATCTTCCAGGCTTGCGCCCGCCAGGTTTGAGCCCGAGGTCGTTTTCACCAAACCACGTTTTACTAAATGTGGCTCTGGCCATCCCCGAAAAAAGGACGTGCATGTACACGAATCTCGGGGCGATCGAAGTGGGTACGGAAAAAAGGGCACAGAGACCGACAGCTGTTCCTGCTCACTTGGAGCAGGTTTCGCTGTTGGCGTCGCCGCGGCCGGGGCATGAGCTGGTTTCGCCAGCGCTGGTTTCGCCAGCTCCGGTTTCGCCCCGCTGGTTTCGCCGACGGCTGGTTTCGCCAGCGCTCGTTTCGCTCGCGCTGGTTTCGCTGGTTTCGCCGGCGGCTGGTTTCGCCGGCGCTGGTTTCGCCGGCGCTGGTTTCGCCGACGCCGTCGTCGCCGCGGGCGGGCGGACCTTAGCGGGCGGGTCGGGTCGGGTCGGGCGGGCGGACCCTGACGAGCGGGTCGGGTCGGGCGGGCAATGTGGGGCACGCTCGACGGAGCACGCGCGAACCCTGACGGGCGGGTCGGGCCGGGCGGGCGGACCCTAGCGGGCGGGTCGGGTCGGGCCGGGCGAGCGGACCCTGACGAGCGGGTCGGGTCGGGCGGGCGGGACACTGAATTGTGGGGCGCGCTCGACGGAGCACGGGCGGGTCGGATCGGGCGGGCGGACCCTAGCGGGCGGGTCGGGTCGAGTCGGGCGAGCGGACCCTGACGAGCGGGTCGGGTCGGGCGGGCGGGACATAAAAGTGTGGGGCGCGCTCGACCGAGCACGCGCGAACCCTAACGGGTGGGTCGGGTCGGGCGGGCGGACCCTAGCGGGCGGGTCGTGTTGGGCGGGCGGGACATTGAAGTGTGGGGCACGCTCGACCGAGCACGCGCGAGCTGTGACGGGTGGGTTCGGGCCGGGCGGGCGGACCGTAGAGGGCGGGTCGTGTCGGGCAGTTTCGCCGACGGCAGCAGGTTTCGCCGACGGCAGCTGGTTTCGCCGACGGAGCTGGTTTCGCCGACGGACCAGCCGGGCGAAACCAGCCGGGCGAAACCAGCCGTCGGCGAGACCAGCGGTCGCCGCGGCCTGTGTCTTCTCGAGACAGAAGACCGCCTGTCCACCGGCGGCCACTGGTGGTTTATGGCAGCATCTGCTGTTGGGCATTGTGCCCATTGTTTCCGTACTCTTTTCAGGCGTCCAAAGAATCCACGTTGATTTCGGAAGTGGACAGGACCCCCCACCTTGACACGTCGATTACGTAGTGAATTGTCCGCGTTCGGTTCTCGAGAGGGCGCGGCGGCCGTCATTTTCCGGGCTTGTGTCCGCCAGGTCTGGGCCCGAGGTCGTTTTCACTAGACCGCGTTTTACTCTTACTAGAGAGGGTTCTCTCCATCCACGATGGTTTTGAGAGCGCGCACTGCATGAGCCTTCGTAGCACGCGGCTGGTCTCGCGGACTGGGGGGCCGTGCCCCCGTACGCGGTCGGGCGCGTATACGTTCTCCGTGGGCTCCGCCTTCGTAGAGAGCACCCCGCCGCTGCTCAGAGCCCGTCCTGCGCTTCTGGGGCGCAAAGCTCCGTCGGGCATACCCCTCCACAGGAGGAATCTGCAAGAATAGTATACAAATAGTCCGGCGACGATTGTTCGTGCCCTTTTGTGTTGGCAATGTTTGACTCTAACTATCTCCTTTACCTGTCTTCCAACATCCGCCTGTAGGAGGACATGCCCGATCCAAACCCAGAGTTTCGGCGCTCTGTTTCCGAAAGGCCTTCGGCCCATCCCGCTACCGTGCCTGAGCCTGTAGGCCAGCGGAGCGTTGGATGCTCGTCGCGTTCTGGGGCCCTCTTGGGCCCGAGAGAGTCACACGAGAAGACGCACCGGGGCCCTGGAGGCACGCCGTGAGCCCTGGGAGGTTCAGGGGGGCTTTCTCAGGGTTTTGGCGTGTTGTGCAGACAAGTGGCACGTGTGTGCCCAGGCTCATACAAACCGAGCAGAGCGATGGTATAAAGCAGCATCGCCGGGAGCACGTGAGAAAGATGAGTGAATCGGTACGGGGCGTGCGAATTATTTTAGTCACCAGTATGTTCGTAATTGCATTAAGCATCTGTGGTAAACAAGCAGACATGGACACGAATGTGGAAGTCGTAACATTCAGTAACTGCGCTGAAGAAGCTTGCCTAGATGCAATGATATGTACAACGCCTCTGAGCACAATTGCTTTCGAACTGCGTTGACCTGAAATGTTGAACACCACTTTTCTACCAGTCGTTAAGAGTCCTGTGGCAAGAGAAAGAGGATCTACGACGCAGAACAACGACGACGAAGAGAAGAAATGTTGAAACTCACATCTGGCATCATTGAAGCAACAGTACCTTTGTTTGAGTGGCTCGTGGTTTGTTCAGTGAGTGCGGATCCCCCAACGTACGTCTTTCGCCGACTGCTTCCTCAAGAGCTTGACTGATGAATGGAGACCACCTGAACCGAGCGAGGCATCTATCTACTGGAGGCCCCACCACCCGAGGGAAGAGGCTGATTGAGTGTGCAATGCTACTTTCGATGCAGGCTGAGGCTTCCTTTGCCCCCACCCGTACATGGACGGATTGTTGGCTGTGCTGTTTTGCCCCGCTCGGGCGGGTGGCGCGGGTGCGGAAGGCACGGGGGGGGGTGGGGGGTCGATCTCCGGGTCTCCTGAGGGAGCGGCGACTGGAAGGTTGTGGCTGTCGGGGAGGCGTGGGAACCTACTGCCGACGATTCCTTCTCCGCGCCGATCTGTCAGGACTCCGGCTAGCACTTGCTGTGTTCGAGTCGGCACGGACTGAAGAGATGTGGATGAATCTGGCCTCTGCAGTCAAGCCGAGTCCAAATCAACTCAAGCACGTGCGAGCCCCAACCTCCGATATATATATATATATACACGGAGGAGGTATAATGATGAGAATTGAGAGGATGAAGAGAGGAAGGAGCAGGGGGAATACAATGTGCATGACGTGATGGAGGGGGCCTTCGCTTTGGCGATATGTGGCAACTTTGGCTTCGAGATTTGACCCTGACCCGTCAGTGGAGATGCTGCCCTGGTCTGCGCTAGATCCTAAGCGCGCGCGAAGGTCGCGCGCGCGTGGTTCTCTAGATACACACATTTAAAACAACAGATACATAGAAAAAAACATGTAAAGAAACATCAAGAAAAGAAACGCCCCCTTCGTTGCCCGAGACGGGCATCCGCGGAGGTCCGAACATTCGTCCATCACGCTGGACGTCTAGGCTCTTCCCTCCCCGTTGAGGGTCCCTGGTGGGGGGCCTCTGGGAGTCCTTGGAGGTCCCCAGGTGCCTCCGAAGGCCTCCGCGCGGAGGCACGTGGAGGCTTTCAACAGGCGCTCGAGGACTAAGAAGGCCCCGAAGCGCGGCTGCAGCAAGGAAGCAACTCCCCTTTCCTTCCGTCCCCCTGAGGGAGGAGGAGGAGGCGCTTTCTTGGCGAGGAGGGAGGCGAGGAGCAGATCGAGGGTGAGAGAACGGGAGAAAAGGAGGAAGATGAAGGAGAGGATGGAGAGCCAGGCGAGAAGGAGGAGGAGGAGGAGGAGGATGAGGAGGAGGAGAAGGAGCAGGGGCGAGGAGGAGGGGCGAGGAGGAGAAAGAGGAGGAGGAGGTGGAGGAGGAGCGAGGCGGAAGACGAGGAGGGGCGAAGAGGAGCGAGGAGGAGGCGGGAGGTGGCGAGCTGGGGCGGGGCTGCTCGCCCCTCTTCCTCCTCCCCCTCCTGCTCCCTCTCCCCCTCCCCCCCTCCTGCTCCCTCTCCCCCTCCTCCTCCTCCTCCTCCTCCTCCTCCTCCTCCTCCTCCTCCTCCTCCTCCTCCTCCTCCTCCTCCTGCGTGGCCCTCTGCCGCCCCCGCCGCGCGCGCGCGGCCCAGGCAGACTTGGGCGGGGCCAGCGGCCCCGACTGCGTCGTGGTGCTCTGCGGCGCGGCCCCGGGCAACCTGGGGGCCGTCCTGCGGGCGTGCGCGCTGCTGGGCGTGACGGTGGTCCCTCGGGAGCGCCCTGTTCCCGGAGGAGGAGAGGGTACCCGTGCCTCTGCCCCCTCGCCCGTTTTCCCTTTGTTGGGCCTCCTGGGAGGCCCTCGTCGCCACAGCTAGGTTCGCCTCGAAATCCTGGTCAGAGCGCACCCCAGGAGAGGTCCAGGGAGTGGCGGTATTGGTACTTTTTGATTTCACTATGTTTGATGATCCTCAGAGCGTGTGTTAGCCCAGTGCGTGTTTACACCCTGCAGCTCCACCAGTGGATCATTGCATCGCCTGCGTCGTGCTGGAGGGCTTCAGAGGGCAAACATACGTTGGCGCTCGGGTCTCAGGGTTGGGTTTCTTGTGGAAAGTTTCTTGTGGACGGGCCTCCACTGTATATCAGCCACCATTGGTCCGACAGGGGCCCGATAACCCACCCCGCCAAGGAACGAGGGACTTCGCTGTCGGGGCGCCTGTCGCCGATGTGTCGGCGATGTAGTGCCGGTTCCAGGTCGATGGTTGCTCCCCTGAGCCAGTTCCCCACTGATCGTCCAACCTACTTTAGCTTTGACCACCAGAAAGAATGTCGAGCACCAAGAAATTATCCTGGCGAAGGACCCAACCATATGCAATCGTGAATACTCCAATTGTGAATATCTTCTCGGTGGAGCCCCCTACGGGGCCACGAAACGTACGAGGGGTGTGCCGAAATGGGTGTGCGGGACGCATGCGGGCACACCCACTAGGGCCTTAGGTGGAGCTCCCTATGCGGCCACGAAACGTGTGAGGGAGTTGACGAAATGGGTGTGGCTGACGCATGCGGGAAAATTATCCTGGCGAAGGACCCAACCATATGCAATTGAGAATACTGCAATTGTGAATATCTTCTCGGTGGAGCTCTCTACGGGGCCACGAAACGTACGAGGGGTGTGCCGAAATGGGTGTGCGGGACGCATGCGGGCACACCCACTAGGGCCTTCGGTGGAGCTCCCTATGCGGCCACGAAACGTGTGAGGGAGTTGACGAAATGGGCGTGACTGACGCATGCGGGCGCGGGCACTGGGGCCTTTCGGTGGAGCTCCCCATGGGACCACGAAACGTTTGAGCGGTGTACCGAAATTGGTGTGGTTGACGCATGCGGGCGCGGGCACTGGGGCCGAGGGGTGTGCCGAAATGGGTGTGCGGGACGCATGCGGGCACACCCACTGGGACCTTCGGCGGAGCTCCCTATGGGGCCACGGAACGCGTGAGGGGCGTGCCGAAATGGGTGTGGCTGACGCATGCGGGCGCGGGCACTGGGGCCTTCGGCGAAGCTCCCTATGGGGCCACGAAACGTGTGAGGGGTGTGCCGAAATGGGTGTGGCTGACGCATGCGGGCGCGGGCACTGGGGCCTTCGGTGGAGCTCCCTATGGTGCCACGTAGCGTGTGAGGGGTGTGCCGAAATGGGTGTGGGTGACGCATGCGGGCGCGGGCACTGGGGCCTTCGGTGGAGCTCCCTATGGAGCCACGAAACGTGTGAGGGGTGTGCCGAAATTGGTGTGGGTGACGCATGCGGGCGCGGGCACTGGGGCCTTCGGTGGAGCTCCCTATGGAGCCTCGAAGCGTGTGAGGGGTGTGCCGAAATGGGTGTGGGTGACGCATGCGGCCGCGGGCACTGGGGCCTTCGGTGGAGCTCCCTATGGAGCCTCGAAGCGTGTGAGGGGTGTGCCGAAATGGGTGTGGGTGACGCATGCGGCCGTGGGCACTGGGGCCTTCGGTGGAGCTCCCTATGGAGCCACGAAACGTGTGAGGGGTGTGCCGAAATGGGTGTGGGGGACGCATGCGGCCGCGGGCACTGGGGCCTTCGGTGGAGCTCCCTATGGAGCCACAAAGCGTGTGAGGGGTGTGCCGAAATGGGTGTGAGTGACCATAGCGGGCGGCGGGCACAGGGGGCTTCGGCGGATCTCCCTATGTGGCCATGAGAAAACGAGAAAAGGAACGTAAAACCTTGTAGGGGTGTGCCGAAATGGGTGTGGCTGACGCATGCGGGCGCGGGCACTGGGGCCTACGGTGGAGCTCCCTATGGAGCCACGAAACGTGTGAGGGGTGTGCCGAAATGGGTGTGGGGGACGCATGCGGCCGCGGGCACTGGGGCCATCGGTGGAGCTCCCTATGGAGCCACGAAACGTGTGAGGGGTGTGCCGAAATGGGTGTGGGGGACGCATGCGGCCGCGGGCACTGGGGCCTTCGGTGGAGCTCCCTATGGAGCCCACGAAACGTGTGAGGGGTGTGCCGAAATGGGTGTGGGTGACGCATGCGGGCGCGGGCACTGGGGCCTTCGGTGGAGCTCCCTATGGAGCCACTAATCGTGTGAGGGGTGTGCCGAAATGGGTGTGGGTGACGCATGCGGGCGCGGGCACTGGGGCCTTCGGTGGAGCTCCCTATGGAGCCACGAAACGTGTGAGGGGTGTGCCGAAATGGGGGTGGGTGACGCATGCGGGCGCGGGCACTGGGGCCTTCGGTGGAGCTCCCTATGGAGCCACGAATCGTGTGAGGGGTGTGCCGAATTGGGGGTGGGTGACGCATGCGGGCGCGGGCACTGGGGCCTTCGGTGGAGCTCGTAATGGGCTAAGCGAACAGCGTCTGTACTGGTTGTTGAAACGCATGGGAAGAGGGAGAGGAGGAGGAGGAGAGGAGGAATGAGGATGAGGAGGGGATAGGAGGGAGGAAGGAGGAGAGGAGAGGAGGAGGAGGAGGAGGAGGAGGATGGAGGAGAGGAGAGGAGAGGAGAAGGGAGAGGAGAGGAGAGGAGAGGAGAGGAGAGGAACGCGGGGCACCGTCTCTTCAAAACGAGGACCCAACACCACAGGATGGTTGGGAAATACGGAAACTGGAGGGTTTTCACGTGTCGGGCCCCGGGAGGCGATACTCGTTCAATACTGTTTCGATACTGTTCTGAGTGCTCGAAATTATTTCCGGGATGTGGTTCTTAAGTGCACGATGGGAACAGCAGAAACAGTACCCCACTGATCGTCCCCCCTCACGTCCGCGAGAAGGGGGTACGTGTTCGCTCGTTCTCGGAGGGCTTCTCGTCGCGGGACGCCTGCCGGCAGCTGCGCCTCGTCGAGAGGTTTCCGCGGGAGCCCGCGTCGTCCCGAAGAGTCGCCGGAGGTGGGGGGTGTGACCCAGGAGCCACCAGGCCCAGGTCGGGCATGTCCCCCTACAGGCAGATGTTGGACGATAAATTAAGAATAGCCCAAAACATATCCAAGCATAATCCGAAAATGCTAGAATAATCGTCCGCAGACCATTGTTTTATTCCCAACCATCCTGTGGTGTTGGGTCCTCGTTTTGAAGAGACGTCGCCCCGCGTTCCTTCCTTCCCGCTGCCCCCTCCCTCCTCCCATCTTCATCATCATCGTCATCACCCAATTTCGGCGCACCCCTCACGACTTTTCTGTGGCCCCATATGGGACTTCCACCGAAGGTCCCGTGGGTGTGCCGCATGCTCCCGCACAATGAGCCCCATTTCGGCACACCCCGTGCACTTTCGTGCCCCATGGGGGCTCCACCGAAGGTCCCAGTGGTGTGCCCGCATGCGACACGCACACACAAAAATCGGCACAACGACCCCTCAACACGTTTCCGTGGCCCCATATGGAGCTCACCGAAGTCCCAGTTGGTTTGCCCGCATGCGTCCCGCACACAACCAAGTTGGCCAGCAAGAAACACGATATCACCCTTCACACGTTGCCGTGTGCCCCATAGGGAGCTCCACCACCGAAGTCCCATTGGGTGTGCCCGTGCTGCCCGCACTGCGTTCCCGCCTTCTCGCATTTCGGCACACCCCTCACACGTTTCGTGTCCCCATAGGGAGCTCCACCGAAGGTCCCAGTGGGTGTGCCCGCATGCGTCCCGCACACCCATTTCGGCACACCCCTCATACGTTTCGTGGCCCCATAGGGGGCTCCACCGAAGGTCCCAGTGGGTGTGCCCGCATGCGTCCCGCACACCCATGTCGGTACACCCTTCACACGTTTCGTGGCCCCATAGGGAGCTCCACCGAAGGTCCCAGTGGGTGTGCCCGCATGCGTCCCGCACACCCATTTCGGCACACCCTTCACTCGTTTCGTGGCCCCATAGGGAGCTCCACCGAAGGTCCCAGTGGGTGTGCCCGCATGCGTCCCGCACACTCATTTTGGCACACCCCTCACACGTTTCGTGGCCCCATAGGGAGCTCCACCGAAGGTCCCAGTGGGTGTGCCCGCATGCGTCCCGCACACCCATTTCGGCACACCCCTCACACGTTTCGTGGCCCCATAGGGAGCTCCACCGAAGGTCCCAGTGGGTGTGCCCGCATGCGTCCCGCACACCCATTTCGGCACACCCTCACACGTTCGTGGCCCCATAGGGAGCTCCACCGAAGGTCCCAGTGGGTGTGCCCGCATGCGTCCCGCACACCCATTTCGGCACACCCCTCACACGTTTCGTGGCCCCATAGGGAGCTCCACCGAAGGTCCCAGTGGGTGTGCCCGCATGCGTCCCGCACACCCATTTCGGCACACCCCTCACACGTTCCGTGGCCCCATAGGGAGCTCCACCGAAGGTCCCAGTGGGTGTGCCCGCATGCGTCCCGTCGTCTCTCTGCCCAGCGGCAAGAGCCTTGCCCGCTATCAGCCAGCCAGCTAGCTCTTTTTGCTCCGCGCAGTGGACGACCCGCGCGCGTCGCTGGGACCCCTCCGGGGCGACCTGCGCGCGTCGCGGGGACTCCGCGCTGCGCTGCGCCCGCAACCTTGGACTTTTGAGTGCGCGGGCAAAGAGGGAGTAAAGGAAGGGGAGGAAGCGGGCGCGATCCTCGCCGGTGGGCGCGCCGACATTGGCGTCGCGGCGCGCGGGCGATGCCGTCGGGGAGTCCCGGGGAAGCTCCTTGCGGCGGCCACGCCCAGCGTCACGAGTACTCAGAGGCAGACATTGTCAAACTATTGACATTCATACACAATTGCGCCACGCTTTGTCATATTCGCATTCATGCACGTAGACTCGT